GTGAAAAAGGGATATGCAAACGGTTAAGGACTGGGGGTTTAATGGTTTAATGGTGGGATGTTTAGATGATGCCTAAGAGAATGTAAAGGTGGGACCAGTTGGATATTCTCTCTACTATACAGTGTGTAATCAGAACGTCTCTATCCTCTGAGGATGAAGTAGCTCTGATACATTTGATCGATTTCACTTGTTTATCGACTTTCTTTATTACTTTGGAATCAGTCAAATCAATCAAATCAATCAAATCAATCAAATGTACGTTGTTCCAGCAGAAAAGAGCCAAAGCTTCACGTTACCTAAAGCATGCATACAAAAGTATTAAAGATACAAACAATTATATTATATATAGGGGCGGTGGTGGCGAAGTCGATAGGGACTTGGCTTGGCAACTGGAAGGTCACCAGTTCAAGTCCCGGCAAGCCCAAGTGCTACCGAGGTGTCCCTGAGCAAGGCACCGTTCCCTACACTGCTCCCCGGGCGCCGTTCAAAATGGCAGCCCACTGCTCCTAACGCAGGATGGGTCGAATGCAGAGAAACAATTTCCCCACGAGGATTAATAAAGTATATCAAATATTTAAAAAAGTTACACAAAATACACATCCTGTAAGAGTTCTGAGGATTTAGGAGCACAGTTATTAACGGCATCGATATGTATTGCACATATTGCACATAGTTGGTGGTTAACAACAAGGCGTGATATAGTTTGTGTTGTTGTTTATTAAATATAACAAAAGACAAACTTTGTCCTTGAATCATTTATCAGTTTCTCTGATAACTGGCAGGTGGTCCCGCAGCATCCGGACTAACACCACCTGACTCAGGGACAGTTTCATCCCACAGGCCATAAGACTGTTAAACACCTGGACTTAGAACATCCATAACATTCACCTGGTTGCTACTTAGAAATGATGTATCTAATATATCATATTCACTGCATATAGACTCTGATTGCACTATTTCTACACTTTTGTATCTGTTTTACTGCACTGTTGGAGGAGCCTGTGACCTCAGACTTCATTGACATATCTACACTCTAGCTATGTACGGATGACAATAAAAGCCTTGAATCTTAATAATTTCCTCCCCACACTTAGGTGACTTCTCTCTCAGTCCGGCAGACTGATCTCTTCTCCCTCCTATCCAGGCGAGTCCATCCAGATCTTCTGCGAGGTGGAGAACAGCTCGTCCCGGGTGGTGGTGCCCAAGGCGGCGCTCTACCAGACGCAGACCTTCTTCGCCAAGGGGAAGGGGAAGCAGATCCAGCAGCTGGTGTCCAACCTGAGGGGCGAGACCCTGCCGCAAGGCAAGAGCCAGAGCTGGGAGGGCAGGCTGCTGAAGATCCCCCCCGTGTCCCCCTCCATCTTGGACTGCCCCATCATCCGCGTGGAGTACGTCCTCGTGGTGAGTGAGATTAACGTTCATTTGAAATAACATAACCCTTTGGAGTTTTATAATGTACAAACACTCCCAGGAGTTCCATTAATATATAATTATCATGCAGCAAAAAGTGTACAAAAATATAGAATTAAGAAGCAGGAGAAAAGGTAGTAAATGTAGCAATAAGTACATTAAATAAGTATACAAAATATACAGTTCAGATAGCACTGTAAGAGATATTTAAAAGATCCCCCCGTGTCCCCCTCCATCTTGGACTGCCCCATCATCCGTGTGGATTATGTCCTCGCCCTCTGGAGTTTCATAATGTACAAACGCCTCGTGGTGAGTCCAGATTAATGTGCATTTGAAATAAGATAACCCTCTGGAGTTTGATAATGTACAAACACTCCCAAAAGTCCCATTAATATATAATTATCATGCAGCAAAAAGTGTACACAAATACAGAATTAAGAAGCTGGAGAAAAGGTTTTAAATTGAGCAGAAAGTTCATATAACCGCATTTAAAGGTTCCCCAATTTGGGCTCATCAAAGTAGATCTTGTGTTATCTTTTTAAAAATGTACAGAAAACATACAGCTGAGACGCAGGGAGGAGCTGCAGCATGTACAGGTAAGAGCTAGTTAAAAAGCATCCTGTGAAGATGCTAAGATTATAAGAAATATATACGGTTAAGAACATACAAAGAACCCATAAAAAGACTTTAGATGGAAGTATATGCAAAATATAAAGTTGAGCTCTTAATTAAAATTAAATATACAGTTAAGATGTAAAATATCCCGAAGTATACAAGATATAGAAATGTAAAATCAAGAAGCAGTAAAAGTCTATGCAAAATATACAATTAAGATGTAAATAGGTTAAAATATAATATATTCATTTAGGATTCAGTGAAACCGTCAGAGTATGCAGATGCAGTACAAAAGTACACAAGGTATTACAACGTGTACAAAGTCAAAAGTAAGCATAATGTTCCAGATGATCAACAGGGAACTGTCCTTACATGGGAACATGTCCTGTGATGATTGAGTGACATGGGGAGTGTCCGTGTGTGTGTGTGTGTGTGTGTGTGTGTGTGTGTGTGTGTGTGTGTGTGTGTGTGTGTGTGTGTGTGTGTGTGTGTGTGTGTGTGTGTGTGTGTGTGTGTGTGTAGGATGTCAGAGTACACAGTGTTCACATATCTCACACGTATGTGTCCTGCAGGCTGTGTAACGCACCATAGGTCATGTGTATATGAAAATACTCTGAGTACACCCACACACACTCACACACACACACACACACACACTCTCACACACACACACAAACACACACACACACACACACACACACACACACACACACTCACACTCACACTCACACTCACGCCCTCTCCCTGTGTGCAGGTGTACGTGGACGTCCCCGGCGGTCTGAACCTCTCCCTCTCCCTCCCTCTGGTGATCGGCACCATCCCGCTGCACGCCTCCACCTCCAGGAGCTCCAGCATCAGCAGCTGCTGCAGCTGGGGCCCAACAGAGACCCCCGAGGGTGCGTACATTACACTGTATATAAAGCATATTTCATTTAATCCTGTTTTATTTTATTTATTTGTATTAATATTTATTCTTTATGTTTTTTTTATTAGTATTTTTTATTTGTTTTGTATTTTTTTTAAATATTATTTATCATGTTTTATTCATTTTATTGTTATTTTTATTGAATTAATTACTATTTTTTATTTTAATTTATTTTGCTGATTCTGATTGCTCTGTATGTCTCCTTATTACACAAGCATCTCTAATATGTGTGTGTGTGTGTGTGTGTGTGTGTGTGTGTGTGTTTTGATTGCAGCCCCTCCCAGTTACAGTGAGCTGGCGATATCAGAGTCTCACAGGAGGAACTGTCTGGTCGGCTGTGATAGGTCGGAGGGGGGGGGGGGATCTCTGCTCACTTACATCACTGAGTTCAGATATCTGCCCCCCCCACTCTACTCTGAGGTACACACACACACACACACACACACGTTAATGAACAGCTGTGATGCGATAAAAAACGATACAAAATATGCCAAAAAATACAGAGAAATAACGTTAAAAAGTCAAAAAATTGTCAAAGTCAACTTTATTGTCAATCTTTCAGTTTGTGTGTCCAGACAGAGAGATCAAAATACCGTTTCCCACAATCCCGAGGAATACTAAATACAAATATGTATATAAATATATATACACAATCAACAGACACATTTGTAAATATGCACAATGCAATCAATATATACAACTGTGGGTATTGTCCACAGTAGATGACCATTACATGTATGATCTGTATGTGTAATGTGTATTTGTAAAGCGCTTTGAGAGTCTTTGATAAAGCGCTATAATAAATATAAGGATTATTATTAACAGTCACTTGAAAGATGTACGGTTAAAATGCATTAAAAGAACTTATCCAGTGTTGCTGCAGTCAAAGAGTCAGGCTAGCAGTCCTTATGCTAAGCTAAGCTAACTTCTGTGGCTTCATATTAACCACACAGATGTGAGAGAAACAATCTAAATTTAAACGAGGTATTTTGTTTAGTTTTTTCCCCAGTTGCCAATTTTAGCCCTTTTGCATTCCTTACTGACGTCTCCCAACAACATGCAGCGAACACGCTTGACCTGTGTGACATTAGGGTGTGTGTTAGAGTGTGTATTTATGTACCCCTCCATAAAAAGACACAGTCAAAAGTAAAAGACTAGAAATAAACAATCCAAAATCTCAATAGAAATAAAATAGCATGATAAAAAAAGTAGAAAATATACATGTTGAATTACAAA